TCAACAGCGCCATGAAATGGGGTCTTCCTTCCACTAAACAGCAAATCGGTGCAACCATGTAAATGTTTTGCTTTGGTTTTGTTTTAAATTTTTTTGAAGTAATATTTATTTTTTTAAAACAGAAAAGGATAAAGAATAAAACAAACAAACGAAAACACCATTTATCCCTGTACCCAGAGAGTGTTTGTTAACATAGAGAAAAATTATACATCCATAAGATTTTTCAAAAATTAACAGTACAGAAATGTAAATATTAAACAATGTCTCTCTTACCCACCTCCATGGTTTCCCCCCACCAGCTCTCTCCCAAGAGATGTATCTATCACATATTTCTTAGGTCCTTACAAATAAAATAAATTTTATGGCATATATAGATCCTTTGAAAATGTATACACCATACTCTTACTCTTTATCTCCCCTTTAAAAATAAAATTAATAGTTAACTATGTTTATTGGCATTTTACATGGTGCAACCATGTACATGTTTTCCAGGCCAGTTTGCTCTGCAGAGAGGCACTTGTTCCTGGAAAGCTTCAAAAACTGGGCTTCACCCTTTTAGGCTACAGCAGAGGGAATTCTTCTCCAGAATTGTTATTTCAGCTACAGTTCATCAGAAGTGCCGCTGCTTTAAAATGTAGGTTTTATGATTTTTCAGCTGTGGGGAGGCCACAGGTCTGGAGACGACTGCCACTGAAAATATCGCTTGTTACTCACAGATCCCAAGAGAAGAGGGCAGGCCATGACACAGTGGGGACAGTGGTGCTGAAGGGGGCACAGGGTCCCTCAGGAGGCAGAGGGAGTAAGGGGAAAACATAGACAAGAGCCTCTATTGTGGTTTCTGCAGAAAGGAATGGCTGAGGCAGGGTAAGCAGGTTTAGGACTGGCTGGGTTGAGTAAGGTCAGTGGGCTCTGGGATGTAGGGACAGTCCCCAGTTGTCTTATACCTGGCTCTGGGGTGATGGGGCAGGTGGATAGCGGCCTGGAGTGTGAGAGCCTGGTAAGTAATGCGGTTGGGGGCGTAGACTGTGGATTGGTCAGTTTGTATATGAAACGTACTCTCGTAGGCAGGTACTTTATTATCTCTAGGAATTGGCAGTCCCTCCTCTGTCACCAAAGCCTCAGATGTTGAAGCAACAGAATACAGAAAATAAAAGACATGGTTAATACAGCTATTTAGGAACAATAATCTGTCTCTCTCCTTGAAGACATGTTGGTCTTGAGAGAAGGAATCTCTTTCTCCAGATGACTTACATCAATTCTTACCAGGGAAAAAAGTCTCAGTCAGGTTTAAAAATGTCTGTAAAGTCATTTATGCAGGATACGTTACTGAGCAGCTCTGGTAAAAGAAAAATGCCTCTTTGCATGTGAGACATATTAAAATAAAAATGGGCTAAAAATGTTTCCAGGCATAGCTCCTACTTGTCAGCTCAGTAATTAGAACTATGTACCCCAAACTCAGCAAGCTGAACATACCCAGCAATTTAAAACTTTCTGTTAATATTGTAAGACATTTTTTCAAGTCCTCCTATGAATTTCTCACCCGCTGTGATGTGCCCCTGACTCTTCTTCTGTCTGTCTTTTTGGGGTGTTTTCCCCACGTGCACAGACACATAATGAGACATCCATGATATGCGCAGACAGGCTGCTGTCAAATTATATAGACATTCATCTTGCCCCCGAGAGCTTTCCCCCTTTGCAGCTTTGCTGTTCTCCATTCGATCAAAATGTTCATAGAAAAATGGCTGAATCTCTGCAACCTTGCCAGCCGTATCAATCTTCCAGGGTTTGGAACATCAATAATGAAGAAAACAGCACTTGAATTAACATTCCACTTGATAAATTGTTGAGGTTTATATGTTGCTCAGATTTGTCAACAGTGACCTTCTGGCAAAGTGAAAAAGCTTTTGAAAGATTACCTCTGGTGCTTTATACCGCTTCTGTGCTTAAAAAATTTCCCCCCAAACAGAGAACCTCTCCCCTTGGAATCTGTTACCTCAGAGTTGGGGGTTTTACTCAGCGAGGCCACAGGAAGGAAAGGGTGTCCTCTGATGATGGAGAAGCGAAGAGCAAGTCCCTTGGTTGAACTCTTTAAGTAAGGCTCCACTGTGTGCATGGCAGATGCTTCAGAGCCCAAATTCCTGGAGGAATTTCAACATTGTCTTCTAAGTATCATCCTCCTCCTAAATGATTGAATGCTATGGGAATGTGGATAGCCTGTCCTGGGCCAAAAGGGAATCAGAGGAAAAGCAACTGGGATCAGTGCGTTTCTAATTGTTGCAGGGAGTCCAGAAGCAGATATCGCTGGCCTTCTGACAGCATGTGGAGTGTTTGAACATGACAACTCTTGCATTTCTGGGGGTAAATGTGAAGCCTGGAATCTGTTGAGAAATGTGTGGCCTCTACTGCACCCTTCCCGGGGAGCTCGGACAGTAGCGTGCTTTGGTAACCTCGAAGGAGGGGACAGCTGCACGGGGACTGGAGCAACGGAGCCCATGATGGGAAGGTTTTATTGACAAGATGCAGAAAGCTTAGCATAACACATTTCCATTTTCCCCCTCTGGGTTTAAGCTCTGGGTGATCGGGGCCTGTCAAGAATGATAAAACAGGGATGGTTAAGGATATTAGAAAGGACTTGTCCGTGTAGCTATTCTTGGCAGAATTTCCACTGTTTACTAACACTGGTGAGCTAGGCTCAAGATGAATACAACTGGTAAGTTTGCCTTTGCTTTGAGTGTTCTGTGGCTTCTAAATTGGCTGTGTAAGGACTTGCTTGCGGAATTAAGCCAGAGTGTATCATTAAAAGCAACTTAAATACACAACCCCTTGAGAGAGTGTTTTTAAAAATTACCTATAGGGCTTCCCTGGTGGCGCAGTGGTTGAGAGTCCGCCTAACGATGCGGGGGACACGGGTTTGTGCCCCGGTCCGGGAAGATCCCACATGCCGTGGAGCGGCTGGGCCCGTGAGCCATGGCCGCTGAGCCTGTGTGTCCAGAGCCTGTGCTCCGCAACGGGAGAGGCCGCAGTAGTGAGAGGCCCACGTACCGAAAAAAAAAAAAAAATTACCTATAATAGCAGTTGGCTGCCTCCTGCCTAGTTTAAGATTCAGCTAGCTGGGGAATGTCGTTATCCCTACAAACTGTGATAATCCCCATATAAGAGGGAAAATGGATCTTGGAGGTTGGGGGATGGATTACCGTGATATTTCGTAGGGAATTCAAAAAAGTATGATACAACAACTTTTGTTTCTATCGCTGTGCTTCTTACAGAATAAGTAAAATGTGAGGAAGAGGTAGAGATTTGCTGGAGGTGCTGAAACATCCTGGGGGGCTGGGCAAACACACATGGTCTTGCTCAGGAAATAGCGATTAAGGCTTTCATTTCCCCAGTACACATTTGTCTTCTCTGCACATTGGATTTTGCCTTCTCATTGCCCTCCCTTTGTCTTTCCTCCATATCCTTTTCTTCCTGTCTTCCTCTTAGCTTATTATAGTAGCCCTGGCCAGTGGGAGCCTTCTGGAAGACCCTGCACCTATTCAGGATACTGTAGAATCCTGTGTACTATACTAGGGGGCTTTGTCTACTTTCCCTGTAGGGCGTGTCTGTCAAAAGCCACTGAGATCTTAATTGTTTGCAAGTTTTCAATGAATGTAGACCTTTATCTCTGTGAATGTATTTTTGGTTGCAAACATTATAGGTCAATGGTTGAATTGTTTAGATAAGATACAGTAGACTGTATTTATGGGTATATACGTTCTGAGACTCTGGACTGGAAAGTTTAAATCTGGTATGAAAAATGTTTTGGTTATTGCTTTAGTATAAAGACATCCATGTAATGACACTACAAGTAATGTTATGGCTAAAGGCAAAACAGGGAACTTTGCCGTGGGATTGGTCCATTATTGCTGTGAAAGTATTTTGCGTGCAAAAGTGGTGCCGCTGCTGAGAGAATATACAGAAAGTGGAGCATGGTAGTAGGACAGGCCAATGCAATTGTAGTCGACCAGTTATTCATAAGTTTATTTAGTAATACTTAGTAGTAATTCATACTCATGAAGCACATTTTCATATCAGTAGTTTCATTCCAGTCTCAGAAAGTAACAAGCAGATACTATTTTGCATATTTTACACATGTAAGCAGATGTAGAGGTACAAAAAAGTTAAGTGATTTGTCCAGAGAGTGGTGAAAGGATCAGATCTTTGAACTTCTAGGACGTCTTTCAGTACACTGTACAGCAGGAATCCTAGATTCATGCTGGGAGTTTCAATGAGAGAGTGTTCTAAAGATGTTCAGAGAACAGAGAGGAAAGCTGCATATTGAATTACAGGAGAAGGAAGTAAAGAAATTGGAACCCTCACACATTGCTGTTGCGGATATAAAGTATGTAGTGCAGCCACTTTGGAAAACAGTTTAGCAGTTCCTGAAAAGGTTAACCGTAAAGCTACTATATGACCCAGCACTTCCACCCAAGAGAAATGAAAACATATATCCACACAAACACTTGTACACGAATGCACATAGCTACATTATTCATAATAGCCAAAAATTTTAAACAACCCAAATTTCTATCAATTGATGAATGGATCAACAAAATGGGGTGTATCCATGCAATGGAATATCACTTGGCAATGAAAAGGAAAAAGTAATGATGCATGCTACAACGTGAATCAACGTTAAAAACGTTAGGCTAAGTGAAAGAAGCCCCAAAGATCACATATTATATGATCCCATTGATATGAAATGTCCAAAATAGGTAAATCCGTAGAGATAAAAAGTAAATTTGTGGATGCCCAGGGCTGGAAGTGGGGAGAATGGGAAGCGACTGCTAATTGAGATGATAAAAATCTCCTAAAATTAGATTGTAGTGATGGTTTCATAACTCTTTGAATATGCTAAAACCCACTGAATTGTACACTTTAAATGGGTGAATTTTAGGTATGTGAATTATAGCTCAACAAAACCGTGAAAAATTACAGGAGAATATGTATTTTTCCAACTCCAGGCCCAGCCTCAGTTATCAGCAATGATGATGACTCTGCCAGCCCACTCCATCACATCTCCAATGGGAGTAACACTCCGTCGTCTTCAGAGGGTGGCCCTGATGCTGTCATTATTGGAATGACCAAGATTCCTGTCATTGAAAATCCCCAGTACTTTGGCATCACCAATAGTCAGCTCAAGCCAGACACATGTAAGTACAGCTGTTTATACTTATTGGCCCATTTGCTGCATAGCTGTATCAAGCAGCATGCTTATCAGAGTCCCTGACGAGGATGACTGAGGGGAGGGTACAGTGTGAAATGTCTGAGGATCCTTGGGGCTTTGAGCCCAAGGAATAGATCATTTAGTTTGTTGATTATGGAGTTCTCAGGGTGTGTCTCCTGCTGGGATTGGAACTGTGGGAAGATACTGACTTCTCTTGAGATCCATTTTCCAAAACCATTTGTCAACATGAAGTTGGAATCAAGGCATGCTTATCTTGAAAAAGATAGACAGAAACTAGAAGTGTCATTAGAATGCACATACATCAGTTACAGAAGACAAGCAATTGGTGGGATTTAAATTTGGTTCATTGAAAGTCCTTAAGATATACACTAATGGTAGTCAGGAATTCTCTGTGTTGCACACAGGTGGTATCAACTTAGGTAGTTCTGTTTTCTTTGTTCAGTCCTAGTTCCCAGTATGAGGCTTGTTGTGATATCACAATAGCAAAGGGACATCACAACAGATGGTCTGCCTGTTAAGTACACTGAGTTATATTTCTTAGAACCAAATTAACCCACTAGCCTCTGTTGGGAAACTTGGAATCTTTATCTTATCCTATCTTCTGAGCCAGTGCTCAAATATAGAGACTGGAACACAGCCTGGAGGACAAGAAATAAAGTCACAGTAGACAAACAGCCTTATGCCACTGGAACTCCAGGCCTTCCCTTACACATGAATAAGGGGCCATGAGGGCTAGAATATCAGGTGGCTAAGGTCCCAGGGGTTCTCTGGCACTGACAAGTGGGTACCTTTTGTCTGTCTGCATGTTCTTGCCCCATCTTAAATACTGTTCTCCTGCCCTGTCTCAGGTAAGGTAGGACTATTTCAAGGTTAGATATTGGGGACTGACTTTCCATTGAGAATGCTCATGGATAAGGGGACTTAGCAGTGAGTATCTTTTCAAATATAAAGAAACATCTGTAATTTCCTCCTATTCATTCAAATTTATCCTGAGGTATGTTTAACAATGGATTTGAATTTAATCATTAGGGTGAACAGTATTACAGTCTTGTAATGTGTGAGACAGAACCTCAACATAGCTTTCAGTTGAATATGTAACATGACAAGATAAATAGAATAGCATATGTGAAGAATATTGAGCTCCTTGAAATAAAAGGTATTCTTTGAAATCAAAGTATTATTAATTCTAATATTATTATTATGGTGTGAACATGATGTGTGGAGGTTTGCTTAAAATGTGCATTCTTTGTTGAGATACGCATCCTCCAATGGTTCCTGAAATGCCCTGCATGTGTAACAGTCAAATACTGAACAAAGCAAAGCAAGATAGTGTAATGAGAGATTCTGTCATCATTTTGATTGTTCTCCCTAGGAACAGAGTACTTTGACACCCCTGTCACCACCACCAGCACCAGTCTGTATGATGTACTTTAGTTAACCTGAGACTGCATTAAAATTGAAGTTGACTAAAATCAACCTGTACTCAAAAATTTGCTTTTCTTTGTCAATGGAGGAAAGATAAAGCTGAATAATCAAGTAGAGAGCATTAGCCTAGCAAGTCCAATAAGAGAAAATGAACCAATCAGCAAGAAAGCAAACAAATGAGAGCCTATAGAATCAAGTGAGCTAGATGGCTTCTGAGTCTGTGGTTCTTTCTAGAAGTGCTTTCTTCCCTTAGAAATTCCACAAGAAAATTTCCAAAGGTCATTTCCCTAATCTAGAGTTCATAGAAGTTTTTACAAAGGTTTTGGATTAGACATTTTGGTAATTTTGGAGGAGTCTTGGTTTTGTGGCTCAGCCACTCCCACTTAGAAAGAGTTGGAAGAGTTGAGGAGACTTGCAGCTTCCCCTCAGCTTCTGCCCTCTACCAGAGGGCGCCAGACCATTGATTGTTTAGTTGTTCCTTATAAAGTCTTGTTGGGTCCTTCACTCAGCAGTCCTTACTGGCTCAGTGTTCTCAATCACTTAGTATCTTATATCAGAAGAAATTTTATTTCTTCCAAGCATCAAGCCATATGCTCTTTCATGATTTTAAGAACACTTAAAATAACACATCTTCCATAAATCCTTTTTCAAAGAAATGGGAATGAAGAAGCAATTTACTTCTCTCATTCCCTCTACCCTTTCTTAAATGTCATCCTTTACCCCATACTTTTTATCTTTATCTTCAGTGTATCTGTTGCCTTTTGTGAAGTCCTGAGTATGACCACTCTGGTGTATGTTTCTCTAGTCTTGATTAGGTTAGATTGTAAGCTCCTAGAGAGCAGAAACTATACTTGTTGAACTACATCTTCATAGCATGGGACATGATGTGCCTTTGATGTTGGCCAGATGTTGACCAGATATGGCTATATATTGCTGAAATATTAATTACTAACAGACTTGTAACAAGTATAGAGGACCTTTTACATTGAGCCTTTTACATTGGGTCCTTTCCTATTAAATTTGCCTGGGTAGACTTTGTTAGATGTATTTTTAACAACATGTTAGCCAGTTTAAATAGATTTAGATAGCGAATTTAGCAGAAATAAGCCTTTAACAAAAAATCCTTTCTTTGAAGATCCTAATTGTAGTCATTCAGAAATTTAAATATTTCAAAATGCATAGATCTGATGTACAGAGGGATCTGTTGCTATAGACCCATGATATTTTGGGAGCTTAGCTTTCAGTTAAGTTATTCCCATCAAGTATTTTTACAACCAATCTCTAAAGAAGGGCTCTTCCAAGAAGTTGGATAGGTTACATCTGAAAAACAAATTTAAGAAGCTCTCAGAAAAAGTATGGAATTTTTCCCATGTGCTTAAAGCAAAATATCACATAGACAGTATACCACCAAGCTCTGGATCCATCAGAGGCTTGGGTCACAAACCAGCACTTTTACTTCTCTTTCCTAAAGCTGCCTGCTATTCAAAGATGTTGGCTTTATATGTGTGCTCTTACAAACAGTGATCCCAGCTTATTTCACTGAATTGTAAGAATCTAATGTAGAAGGTGAAGTTCAATTCATTACATATTTATTGGCTACCCACAATATTCCTACAATACTAAGAATTGGAAATTCGGTCATAATGATGGCATGTTCCTTGCCCTCAGGGAGTCTCCTTGGGGAGGCCAGTGGTGAAAGACTTCATCGTATAATCACAATGCACTATGATAGCATAGCTTAGAGCAAGGATCCTAAACCCTGACAAGGATCAGGCAGGTCAATATGAGAGAAACAGGCTAGATCAGAAAGACGATATGGTATAGTGAAGGTCATGATGGCATGTGGGCTTGGTATTACCAGATACTCCAATTTTTCCAGAGAGAGCAGGCATTTTATATTTTATGTGAATTCTCCAAGATTTAAAACGCTGGGTGGAACCAACAAAATACATCAGCAGAGTCAGATTTGGTCCACAATCCACCAACTGTTTGTGACCTTAAAGATCAATGAATACATACACCTTATTTTACAGACAATGCTCAGAAATGGCTTGTCCAAAAGTAATACAGCCTCCCTACTCGTGTAGGTTTGCTCTAAAAACAGAACAACAAACAAACAAAAAATCATGATTAAACCATATTTCTTTAAATGATGTGTAAGATCATTTGAGTGAAGGATGATGATAAATTTTATCCCCCTAAGTAATTTTTCACTCTCAGGAGCTATGTGAGGTTTTCATTTACAAAGTCCAGAGGTTGTTTGCAGGATTTTAGAACAATCTGAACAGGGCTGAATTGCTCCTGAGCACTTTCCAATAGCAAGTCTGTCTACTTTATTGCAGGGCCCAGAGGTTCCCCCAAGACCGCCTGATAATAATTTGGTATTTGGAGGCTCCTGTGTCACTGCAGGAACTAAAGGAGGCTAAATCCATGCCTGATGGAGGAGAAGAGTTCTATGGTTATCTGCAAATTCTGGCCAGAGAACAACTTGACGTCACTCCTTAGCTTCCAAAACCTAGCCAAGCAAGAAGTTGCCTTCCCAAGAGAAAGCAGTGTGCTCTAATGACTAAACCCTCAAAGTGCTATGCCACTCTAACTATAGACCCATCTCCTCGATCAATCAGGATGGCAAGATGGAGCTGAGGAGCTCAGCAACATCAAGGCTGGAGTTGGTCTTTAATTCAACTAGTCTGTGTAGACGTGTCTGAAAACCACATCATCTGTCCGCACGGGGTGTTTTCCCAGTAGGACTGACCAACCCGGCTCAAGGGCAGCTGTGCTGCTATCCTCTCCTTGACCGCTAAGAACATTTTTGACAGGGTACAATGGAAACACACCTTCTGAGCTGGAAAAAAAAGAAAGAAAGAAAGAAAGAAAGAAAAAGAAAGAAAGAAAAAGAAAGAAAGAAAGAAAGAGAAAAAATACCACTCTAACCAGCAAAACCCCCGAATCATCAATCTTGGGTTCTCTTGAAGGGTGGGAATGCGTTATAGCTTCCCCTGCAGGAAAAGCAAATGCCATAGACTCATTGTCATCCCTAGAATTGTGTCTTTCCTAGAGCAGCCTTGTAAATTAGCTAGGGTCCTAGGCGGAGGGCCTAAATTAAATGAGAATTGTCCTGAAATACATACTGTATGTGTTTGTTCTTACAGCGCATGCCCTCTATGTATATCTAGGGCTAGTAACTCTGTGGCAGATGCAGATAAGGAATTCTGACTTTTTTCCACTTTAATTCCATTTCCAATGAAATGGATGTTTATTGATTTCCTGCAGCGTGTGCCATACTTCAAGTATTATAGTTCACGTGTGTATATATGTTTGTGTGTGTGTTTTCCCATTGGTTACATGCTTATTAGGCAACTATGTAGATAAGCACAGATTCATAGACCAGCTAAGACTAAGGAGATTAAATATAATAAAGGGAGGGAGTGTTTTAACAGTAGTTGAAAAGATCACACAGGACACCCCTCTTGCGCCCCTTAACTGCCATACCCACCCTGTCATTTTGTTACCAACCAGGGGAGGGAATGGAAGTGGTAT